AAAAAAAAAAAAAAAAAAAAAAAAAAAAAAAGATATGTGCGTTCCCTTCCCTTCCTCCCCTCACTCCTTTCCCACGTGTTCATGACATCCCTGGCCCCTCCCTCTGGGACCCGTCCTGAACACACTCACCCCCGCGTGGGTCCCCGATCAGAAGAATTTCTGTATCTCCCATCAGTCAGCAGGATGAGATTTAGTCCCCAGGCCTTGTGCTGAGCAGGGCCACATCACTCATTTCCTAGTTTATAAACTAGGAAAACAAGGTTGGACTTTTTTCCTAAGGATGATGAAGACTTTTTGAAGGATTTTTAAGCAACGGAGGAGCATTCTCTATGGTGAATGGGTTGGGATAGGCTGTAGGCATCAGAGTGCAGGTAGAGATTACTTCATGGCCTCGGGGCCGGGGTGGGGGTGGGGCGGTTAGGCCTCTTGTGTGGCCAGGGTGGCAGCCGTGGAGGTGGGAAAAAGTGATCTCTTGGGCGATGCTGGGGAAATAGAGGCCAGAGGACCCGCTGACGGACTGCCTGGGGCAAGAGGAACAAGACAGGAACAGGGCTGGCTTCTTGCCTTGAGTAAGAGTGGACGGTGGAATGTTGAGTGACAGGAGGGAGGAAGAAATCAAGGGTTCTCCTTGGCATGGGTTAGGTTTGCGATCCCCGGGGAGATGCAGGTGGATGGGCAGAGTGAGACTCGGATATGAATCTGGAGTTCCAGGGAGGGTCAGGCTCTGTGGTTGGGGGTCTTCAGCGTTTAGATGTTATTTAAAGCCCCAGAACAAATTCCCTCAAGGGTCATGTAGAGCCACAGGAGAGAAATGGGCCAAAGATGGGGCTCCAGCGCATTTCAACGTTTGAAGGTCAAGCAGAGAAGAGGCCGCAAGAGGCAGAGAAGATACAGTCAGTGAGGTCAATGGACCTTCGGGAAAGAGGAGCACAGGAGGAGGATGCCAACGGATCAAGTAAGATAAGAACGGAGACGTGACCGTTGAACGATTGTGACGATGGAGGATATTGGGGTTCTTAACAGGCGCAGACTGGTTGGAGGGTGGGGATGGAAGTCCAGGTGAAGTTGGTTAAGGAGAGACTGTGAAGGAAGGGCTATAAATAACTCCTTTTGCTGTGATGGGGGAACAGAAAAACAGAACTGTAGCGACAGGGAGAGGTGAGACCAAGGAAGGGAGTTGGTTTTTAAGGCTAGGAGATATGGAAACATGTGTACCATCCCACTGTCCTGTAGACAGACAGAAAAAATTGCAGATTTGGGAAAAAGTAAATTCAGAAGCAAGGACTTTGAGAAGGTAAGAGGGGGAGGGATCCGGAGCACAGGTGGAGGAGTGGGTCTTCTTGGAGAAGGGACAGCTTAGCCACGGTAACAGAGGGGACGTGGGGAGTGTGGGTCTGATGGAGGTGGGCTGCTGGAGGGAAGCCCCGATTTGTTGCTTCCATTTTCTCAAGGAAGAAAGAGGCCATCGCTGGCCCGGGAGACGGGGAGGGGAGGGTGTGAGGGTTTTGGAGGGAGATGAGAAGTGATGGGACGGTCTTGCAGATGGAGGGAGGGAGGGCTGGTGCGGGGGAGGGTCAGCGCCCGCTGGAGATGGGCGGACACAGACCTGCAGGCGCCCCGTCCTCCCTGGTGTGCGGCTGTTCCCAACCACGTGCAGCAGCCCCGGTCGGAGAGGAGGGGAGGGGAGGGCCAGCTGGATCTGGGCGCCGCTGGGGACACAGTGGAGGGAGGGAGGAGCCAGTGGTCGATCACAGTAATGGACCACGGAGTCTAAGCTGGGGGACGAGGGAACGAGGGAGTGAGGGGCGGTGGTGGGCAAGTGGAGGGGGCCGTGAAGAGTCCAGGCGTCCTTCCAGCCTGGGTAGGGGAAACGTGGCTCACATCCCCCGGCCCCGCCCTCTGGCTTGGTGTCCAATCTCACTTGGTTCGGTGGAGTAAGGTGTCTCTGCACACTCGTTGGGAAGGTCCTTGACCCGGGCAGAAGGGACAGAGAGGGTTCCTCTCGACTTGCCTACGAAAGATGGAGAAAGAAAACCGGCCAATTCTTTCTCTACAAGGGAGCAGGAGCCTGGCGTCCTCGTGTTTTCATCTGACTTCCCTCCCCCAACTCTGAGAAATACGGCAAGTGTTTCTCCTCACTTGAGAGATGTGGAGACTGAGGTTAGGAGACGCGGGGCAGAGCCTTTGCTCTCGGCTGCAGCTCCTGTGTTCTTTCCCAAAGTGTGTTTAGTTTGACGAGGAAGCACCGGGAGTGCCTGCCGGTCCTGAAGGTGAAAGTTCAAACCTCTTAGGACGGGGAGGGTGTGTGCAAGTACCTGTGGGATCAGATTCCTCTCTGAATTACTGAGTCTCAACCCTGGGGGCCCTCAGGAGCCTCCAAAGAATATTTGGACCCTCCCCTGCCTCTGCCCTCATTTCACTGCACAGTGATTCCTGCCGTCGGGGGTCTGTCCAACTCCCTTGCCCTGTATCTGTCTCTCTCTCGCTTCCAGCTTTTGGGGTCTGGTGGGCCAGCCTCCCTGGCTCACCGCGGTCCTCTGCAGACTGTGATGGCCCTGCAGCCACAGCAGAGTGGGGACGGGCACCCAAATGGGAGGAACCCCTGGCCTTCAGGAGGGGAGGGGCAGCACCCTCAGAGGCCCCTCTGGCTCACAGCTCGAGGTCCCTCCTGCCCTCCCCTGCCTCCAACTCTTGTAATGTTTTTATTCCCCTTCCTTTTTCTCTTTCCTCCTTTTCCTCTTATTTCTTTAAACCTTCGGAGTATCCCAGTTTACAGAAAAGGGGCAAATACAGCTGTTTTTTCCTCTGAGTTTTGGAACAGGCTGTTGACACGATGCCCTGTCATCCCTGAGCATGTTAGTGCGTGTTTCCTACAAACAAGGGCACTTCCTACGTAGCCACATGCAACCATCCAAATCGGAGGCCAGCTTCCACTGCCGTCATGGTCTCGTGCTCAGGCTCCTTCTGAGGTAGGTTTTTGATGCAATAGCATCCTTCTCGGCAAGGGGACTTGGTTCTGACCCACCCAGTGCACTTTGTTGTCCTGTCCTGGTTTCCTTCAAGCTGGAACTGTCAGACTCCCATTAACCTTCGTGGCCTTGATGCTTGACAACCACAGGCCAGTGTTCTGTGGGATGTCACTCAGTTTGGAGACGTGGGACACCTCCTCACGGCTGGATTCAGGTCACCCGTCCTGGAGGGATGCCTCGGATGTGATGCTGCATCCTCATGGCATCCTGGGTGGCGTCCTCGCAGTGTAGATGTGTCCTGTTGCGACGGCATTTGCCTGGATCCCTGGCCTGGGTTATGTCCGCCAGCCTTTTCCCCGTTCATTAGTGATAAGTAAGGTTTTCTGGGAGAGGTACTTTGAACCGTGGAAATACTTACTTCCTCCCCGTTAATTGCCTGTCTTATGCAATCGGTCATCACTGTTAGCGTCAGTACCTACTCTGATGCTCAAATTCTCCCTGACTTGGTTCCTGGGAGCATCTTGGAGCTGCCTCTATGTCCTGTCCACGTAAGCCCTTCACTTTGCGTGAGCTTTCTTACCTTCTGGCACAAATGTTCCAGGCTCATCTCGTACTTTCCACGTCTCTGTTTTAGAATCAGCCATTTCTCTGCGGAGTCTTAAATCCTCTCAGTGGACAATGGCTTTTAGAAATGAGGATATGGGGCTAGGTGTGCACATTGATTTTAGGGTGTCGAGGCTCCCAGACTGTCTCCGTGGGAAAAATTTGCGTGTGTGCTCACACATGCTCACGTCTGTGGTGTCACGTACGTGGACACGCATTGACGTAATGCATGTTTCCGCATCTATGCACGTTGTCCAGGACGCCTTCATGTGATACCCCGGCTTCTAATTCAGCACCTTGGGGTATCCTCTCATCTTTCCCCCCTCTCATCTTTCCCCATTTTCCGTGTGATTCCGTCCTCTGACAGTGAAACCCTGGCTGTCATCCTTCTTAATATGTTTACATACTGGCTCAGTCCCCGTATGTAAACAGTCGCCCACTGTCACCACCTCCTGCCCACGCACCTGCCACCCTGTGCTGGGCTCCTACCCCCATGCTGGGCAGCCGCCCCCCCCCCCCGCCACCAG